CCATTCGAAAAAAGCAGCAGCCATATTTACGCTAATAAAGCATGGGGTATTTAAATCCCTGCTTCCTTAGCAATTTTGATATACTTGATTTGCATCCTTCTGTCGACAGAGGGATGCAGTCTAGATGTAGCCTAAGTGATGATCTATGCACACATCTTACTTTTTTTAAGCTCACTAGCCTATATGACATAACCATACAGCCATTCGAAAAAAGCAGCAGCCATATTTACGCTAATAAAGCATGGGGTATTTAAATCCCTGCTTCCTTAGCAATTTTGATATACTTGATTTGCATCCTTCTGTCGACAGAGGGATGCAGTCTAGATGTAGCCTAAGTGATGATCTATGCACACATCTTACTTTTTTTAAGCTCACTAGCCTATATGACATAACCATACAGTCAATAGCAGCTCCAATTTTTTTTTTTTTTTTAATTTTAAACTGTGCCTCACTGATGTCAGTTGCTGGAAACAAAATGGAAATCTGCCTACCAGCAGCAGTTTACTAGATTCTAGGAAGTTTAATGAGCAATAACCAGGGTTGATAAAAGATAACCATTTTTATATTTTTTTTTTCGGATTTACATCAGATTTTTGTTGCTTAAAGAAGATCGATATACTCCACACTTTGGACCAAGAAAAATAGTTTTATACTTTTAAAAAGTCTCGTTTCACATCTGTCTCAGAGGAGTAGCTGTATTTTTAAAAAGTTACAGGCAAACGATGAGGAGTCCTAGCTGAGGCACCTTAGGCTGAGACACCTTAGGTCTACACTGCAATATTATATCGGAAAAAGAAATAATTTGCAATATGCAAACTGCATATGTTTTTCCAATTTACTTTTGAAAGAGGTTTTTCCAAAATTTGATGCATCTACACGGCACCAAATTTCGGAATAAAGTGCTCTCTCAACACATCTCTTGTTCCTCATAAAATAAGATTTACAGGGATGGTGAAACACCTTAGGTCTACACTGCAATATTATATCGGAAAAAGAAATAATTTGCAATATGCAAACTGCATATGTTTTTCCAATTTACTTTTGAAAGAGGTTTTTCCAAAATTTGATGCATCTACACGGCACCAAATTTCGGAATAAAGTGCTCTCTCAACACATCTCTTGTTCCTCATAAAATAAGATTTACAGGGATGGTGAAAGAGTGTGTCCGCTTTTTCAATGGGGTTATAGCTGTCCTGGTCCCCATCTGTGGCCCCTTGCATCCCCCTGCCCCAAAGTGGTCATCCTATCCCTCCTGCCAAATGACTTCCCTTTCCATTTTATGAGAAAATCAAATTACAGGCACATCCCTTTGTCCTGGCACAAAACCCTACCTTGCTTTAAGTTATGATAAGAAGCAGCTTCATATCAAATTTGGTGGTCATAGCTTTTACCATTTAGGAGGAGTTCTTGAACAGACAGACTCACAGATGGACAGACAAGACACACATTTCTAAAATAACGAAGAAAGTAAAAAAAGAGAAAAAAGAAACTAAATAATCACCCATTAGTACAGTGATCTGTCTTCCTCAGTCAAGGATATTACTTTTATCTTCCAGTTCTAAGTTACAAATTTAATAAAAAAACTACGTGGTGGACAAAAGAATGTCCCATGTATGTGAAGCCTGGACATGACAGCTGAAACATCTGATATTTCCTCCCCCTACCCGCAAAAGACAGGTCCTACTTCTCCATGATGAAAAGATTCTGAAGGCCTAGTTGCTCATAGTCATGTTCATTATTCCCTGGCATTTTATGTACATTTTTGTTGTCTAGCTGTCACTAGCATTGTAGAATACAAGGAGTATTTAATTTGACCATAAAGAGTTTTGTGAAGCAGTGTTTCCAATGACATTACTGACTGCTTGGAAAGAAATAAAACTCTAGAATTATCACCAGTTGTTTAGGATCAATAGTTATAGAGTGCCATGTTTCTCATTAGATCTATATCTGAATAATATCAACATAGTAGTATGGACAATAATTTGAAAAATGCCATCTGAGAAAGACAAAAAAGGATTAAAATTTTGGGAATTAAAACAATGGAAACATTACCAGATTATGTACCTCAAAATGAGCTCCAAGATGGACAATTATCAAGGATTTGTCCAGTAAATTAATAAAACGTTGATAATGCAGTTACTGAACTCTCTATGCAAAATGCAGGACAATGTAGCACTTTAAAGACTAACAAGATGGTTTATCAGATGATGAGCTTTCGTGGGCCAGACCCCCTTCCTCAGATCAAATAGTGGAAGAAAGTAGTCACAACCATATATACCAAAGGAGATGGTTGTGACTACTTTCTTCCACTATTTGATCTGAGGAAGGGGGTCTGGCCCACGAAAGCTCATCATCTGATAAACCATCTTGTTAGTCTTTAAAGTGCTACATTGTCCTGCATTTTGCATAGAGAGTTCAGTAACTGCATTATCAACGTTTTATTAATTTACTGGACAAATCCTTGATAATCTATGGATAGAGAAATATTTTTAGAAGATATTTATCAGAAGGGCATCCAAAAGAAAGGTAATTGTAAGAGCCCAGAAGGAGAAAGGGGCAATCAAAGCTACATCACATTGAACAGCACTATAAGTGGTGATGTGTAATATGGCATGATATGAATAGACAATGTTTCCCATTAATTGAAGAGCAATTTCCCTTAGAAGATTTGAGCCATTAACGGTGGCACAATATTGGTAGATAAACCAATTTACCCTTTCTTAGAGGAAGAAGCTATTACCTAATGACAGCAACAATCTTTGTCCTTATCAGATTACAACATTCTAAAAGGGCATAACCTCAGGACTCCTAAATTTTTGAAAGAGGAGTGCTAGAAAACTCCCTTATGACAGCCACTCCTTGAGGAGACAGAAGGCTGCTCTGGCCCGCATGAAATATTTGAGAGGAGAAGATTCAGATTTACTTTTCCCGACAGTCTCCTGTACTACAAATGACAGCTTACCATTCTGCCACATTAGGTCAGCTAAGGTAGTCCGCACTATTGGGGGGCACAAACCTGGCACTCAGATTTCCCAGGTTACATAAAGCAGGGGTAGGAAAACTCTGATGCACTGTCTTGATACAGTTCATCAGGGTTAGTTACAGGCAGGCCACTAGATGGTTTGTACATCCTCAGACATGTGGCCCCGCAGTTCCTCATGGGTAGGTTTTGCTGTTACCAGCCAATGGGAGTTGCAGAAAGCAGCACACCTGGGCCACTGCTTCCCATAGCTACTAATGGCTAGGAAAAGTGAACTGCAATCACAGGGAGCTGCAAGCAGCTGTACCTGGGGATGATCAGATAAACAAAGCATCTTTTGGTCCATCAGTGGTAGACCCTGACAAGCCACATCTGGCCCACAGGCTGGAGGTTCCTACTTCTACCCCGATGGGAAGATCAACAGGCCAATTTATCTGAAGTTTGAGAATCACTGCTCTAGATCTCAAAGTGCAGTCTGCGGACCACTAGTAGTCCACAGCCACTTGAAGGCGGGCCGCAGGTCAAGGCTCAGCTCCTGCTGCTGCAGCAGAGAGCTCACACAGGGACTCCAACCCTGCGGTCCTTTCCCTGCAAGGTTGGAGTGCCAGCACTGGCTTCCTGCTGCAAGGGGAGAGAGAAGC